AATATATATATATATATATTATTTTGAAAACAAATGAAGTGCATGCTGTTTATTCATCATTGAATTTATCATTAACAAGTCACAGACACCAACTGTAGAAGAATCCTAAGCCTAACAACAACATAGTATATATTTATACTATTAAGAAATATAACTAAAAGCCTTTTTATTTCAACAATTGGCAAAGATCAGATTTTTAAATTCTGACAAAGTTATATCTACAGAAATATTGAATACAAATATAAAGAGGTTATAATATCATTGTATAAGTAACTGGTTAGGCCACATTTGGAGTATTATGTTCAGTTCAGGTTTTTACCTCAGAATGGACACTGAATTGTTGGAAAACATTAAGAGGAGGACTACTAGGATACCTGGGATGAAAAGGTTATCATATGATAATAAGTTAAAATCTTTTAACTTGTTTTCTCTTGAAGACAGAAGAGTTAGAGGGGATCTGATTGAGGTGCTTAAGATTGTTAAGGGAGTTGATAATGTTGATGTATCATCTTTTTTCATATTTTGGCAGGGAAAGAAGTCATCTTCAGCTAAGACAACTATATTTTTGTAACAGGGTGGTTGGCCTCTGGAACAGTTTGGTTTCGGATGTGGTGGATGCTGTTAATTTAAGGAAAAGTCTGATAATATTTGAATGATAAGAGCTGGCTTTGAGGTGTTTTTTTTTCTTAAGGGTTTAGTTAGTGGAGAGAACAGCCTAGATGGATCAAAATGTCCTTGCTGTCCTTTATTATGTTATGCTTATAATCCTATGTGAACAGTGTTGGTGCTTTACACTAATCCCGTTTCTGTGAAGTTATATATAGCAATGTTTACTATAATTCCAAATTTACTGAGTGAATTTATCTGAATTTGTAATGAAGTATTTCTACTAAAGACTTGTCTGTGAATTTAATGAGTCAGTCTGACCCAGACTCTGAATAGTCTGAGTGCAAGATGATTTTCGTATAAGAAAATACTTCTTTTCATCCTTACAGTTTTCATGTTTCATTTAAACAACCTCTAGAACCTCCTAAGTGAATTTCAAAGCGTTTTTGGTAAAAATTGATCATCATTTTCTCTACCCTAACACTAACTGTACAACAATCAACTGTAGCAAAAGTTGAAAAACATTAAAAAAAACAGAAGTAATTCATTTTTTCTGGAATGGCTGCAGATTGTAAAAGAGAATTACAATTATCTATTCTAAACAGACCCAAATTCATAAGTTTACATCTGTTTCCTTTAAATTTATGTTTTATTACTCTTTGAACTGTTCCTATCTAGCATAACAAAGCAATAAATCACTTGGTGAGAGTTTAATGCATATTACAGTAAACAAAGTAACGACTTGCATCATGAACGATGGCAGCTCACATGCATTCTTCATTGAGAAAAGTTTTAATTTATATTTTCTTAACTAACTTAAAACGTTTCTAATTTTTACATTCTAGTTACTTTTATAACAATAAATAAATATAAATAGCAAGAAATTTAGTACTTAAATCTGGACTCTTACTTTTTTTTGCCTGTGGAAGGAGAAGTAACTTAAGCCTACTTTTTTGTAATGATGGTGGTACGTAAAATGATCTTTATTTATTTGAAATATGCAACTGAGAATGCCAAATGTTATCAAGCAGGAAAAATAATGTCTTAAAAGTACTAAAATTCAACTGGCTTTCTACCTTAGCTATAGATGGATATAAAAATTCTGGTCCAGCAGAACTCCAATAATGGTAAGCAATGAAAATGAGGCCAAATATTTTCAAACTCTGTTATCTGAATGATCTGACCTCATCATCATCATTAGGGAAATTAGAACTTTCTCCTCCTATTGGTTATAAGTAATCCAACAATTATCAGAGATAATTACCAATATTTTTTGAAAGACAAAATGTAATAAGAGGGGTGTGGCATGTGAGGTTGACTCCTTGTTGATATCTCAGTAACGCAAGAAGCTTGAAGGCTATAAGTATACATTTTGGCTTAGCAATATTTATAAGGGCAGAAAGAAATCCTGAAATGTTCAATCAGAAGAATCACATGATAAAATAAAGTGAAGACTGAGAATTTATTTAAATATTTCCTTTTAAAATTAAGGTTTTAAAACTTATATTAAAAGCTGTATTATAAACTTTGTTTTAATACTATGTTTACTGACATACACCAATAACAAAGTTCAATTAAATTTGAATGTAACTCAGTAAAAAGATTGTGACATACTCATTTTGGCCCTGCCATGAAGATGGAGTTGACAACAATAAGCAAAAATTCTTAGGCACAATAAATATTATAATATTTGCCAAACTTCATTAACAAAAAAGTAAATTTTATAGTTTGTTCAATTTTCTCACTTTCCATTGCGTTAGTCCCTTACATAACATATGGGTATGCTTGTTAATTCTATTCCCAGGAACCATATGTGCATAACTTGATAAGGGCTTTTTTTTAACGTGAATTTAATGACATTTGGTTGTAGTCCTTTCCTCAATAAAATATACAGTAAATCATACCTAAAGTTCTTTATATTTCATTAAATTTTCCAAGGAATACAAGTTGTCTGGTTACAAACGAGTTCAAATGGCAGGCTATATGTTAAATGTTATTTTTGGAGCTCAGAGCTTATACTATGCTACAAGTTCTTCAACTACCTATACAATGATAGGTTTCTTTTTGTGAGTGTGAAACACTTAAATACACCAGTTCAATATTCAATACCTCACTAATTTAAAGGCTTGGTTTGGTCTGATATTTCATTGGTGGTAATGTCCAGGGTCACTGATGAGGAGTGGAATTCTCCAAAACTAGTCTGGCTCACAGACACACACACCCAATGAAAGAATAGACCATTCCAAGCTTTTACTCGTTGTTAAACAAATGTTTAAACAACTCTATATATAATTACAAACCATGATGTTATTTTTATTTTAAATGTTGAAAACACTATATAACATAAGAGGTGTTCTGTTAACATTATAATCAAGATTTATTAATAAAAAACACTTAACAATAAATGCACAATAAAAGTTTCTTAACATTGTACATTTTATTTTGTTTTTTGTGGAAAATATATTTTAGGTATTTGTTTGGAAGGGATAAACCTTTTAGATTCAGAAATGCTTTAAATAAAACTTTACTTATAATGTCCAATTCTTTCAGTGTAACGACATGGATGAAATATATTTTATTTAAAAAATTTAGTTGCTTAACTTTCCAAACACTATAGAATTAATTATCCAAATGGTTGCAAAAAATATTCATAAAAAAAGAGCTTACTCAGATTGAACAGTTGCAAGTGGGTCAGTTAGAGCAACCTTGTGTCCATGCTCTCTGTATGCAGTTATCATTCGATACAAATTACTCTGTTTGATTCTATTATCAACAGCTTGCTGTGACACTGAGAAAAAAATTATATTGAAATAAGCTTTTAGTGACAAACTAAAATAATAAAGAGTTTATAATTTTTTTATAAATAAAAGAAACATATATTAAGCATCACTATTTAAAACAGTATGAAAAACAAAATCATAAATCCAAAGTAATATATTTTGCAAGTTTTTTTTATGCTGATGGACCACTACATTAACAAGGGAATTCAATTACTAATGCAGTGTATCTCTTTCCTGTTGATAGAGGAAGAAGCAAATAGGAAATGTGCTTCAAATCATTTGTTGAAAAATGTGAGCCTTAACTAGAGAAACACTATGTTTACAATCTCAAAGGTTTATCCAAAAATTCATTTATGTTATTCAAAATAAGCATTTTCAGCATTATTTAACACAAAAAATTTTATTGGACAATGCACTGAAGTGTACTCCACATGAGAGAAACAATTCAGATTGCAACAGTAAATACTCAGGGCAAATGTGACAAACACTCTTAGAGTGATAAATATATATTTGTAAATGTTAAAATTTGTATGAAAACATGTCTGACATACTTATACGTACATACATTTATCTAAATCATAAGTTGATAGTGTGTGTCTGTCCACTTATAACTGGCAAACTGGAGTGATATTGGGGTGGGAGATGGCATTCAAATCTGACCACCCTATGTTAACCCTAGGGGCCCATATGCTTTCCCCATACACTGAACAGATATTCCAGCTAGTGTATACATAAAATTAATTATTTTTCACACAATTTATGAGGGTAATAAATCTCTTACCTTTAAAAGGCTCTTCTTTTGGAAAAGGTTTGTACCCATATACACCTTGCTTAGAATGGTAACTTCTGGATACATGCTTGGTAGTTGCTGGGACAAAAGGCTGTTTCTGTTTTCTAAAAACATTACTAGAAGATTGGCCAATATGTAGTGAAGAAATTGTTTTAATTATCTGTCTGTGCTGAAGAACCATTTTTAAAGCATTTGAGTGAAAAGAACATAAAATAGAAGTTGTTCCTGAAAAAAAAATCAATATACATTGGTATTTTTAGTGCCAAAGAACAGCTGATTTAATATGACCATAAATACAGTAGATTCATAGAAATTTGAAAAAAAATCCACTCCTTTCTTTATTTTAAGATTTAAATATCTTATAATAAAGTAATAGCTACATATTGCATTATCAAATGTCACTTGAATGACCATATTTTCCTTAGTTTTAAAAATTCCGATATACTTTGTTCAAGCTTCAAGAAACTTTAAACTTCAACGTCTTAGCTATGCATTATCAACAAGAAAACACAAATAAAGCAATGGACAGAACTGGAATATAAATGTTCTAAGTCAATCAAACATTATTTCAAGCAAATTCATTGCACTGCTCATTTATCTTATATATGTTACGAACTGTGGTGTGTTTCCAAGCATTTGTTTGTCTCCCATTTGAAAAGCTGCACACACAGGCAAAGCTCAACATTCACTTTTGAAATGATGGGAGAACAGGCATGAATAATGTTGATGCCAAATTTTATTTCACAAGTAGGATATTCTACACTAAATTGTTGGGAATTAATCACACTATCATTCAAATTTCAAAAATGTGATGTAACTTAAAGAATACAAATGTAGATTTACCATATGTTATTGCTGAATGGCTCTTAGCACAACTGAAATGCTTAACAATTACTTTTTTGCAGTGGGTGGT